CTTCTCCTGTATACATTTACTAAAAAAGAGAAGAAGAAAAACATTATTAAACTGGGCTTGCTTAAATGTGCGTGGATGTAGTGCGGATGACAAAGAAACAGATGGATTGCTGATGTTATGAATGAAAAGACGTTGGGATGTCTGGGCCTAAGCGAAACATAGCTGAAAGGGGTAGGAGAGTTTCAGTGGGGGAAAATAAATGGGATTAAATCTGGAGTATCTGAGAGAGTTAGAGCAAAAGGGAAGGGGGTAGCAGTAATGTTAAATGATCAGTATGGAAGGAGAAAAGGAGAATTGATTGTGTAATTAAATTCAGATTATGTGGTATAATTTTAAAGTAAAGGTTGATGGAGAAGTGGGTTATAATAAGAGTGTTGTATGCACCTGGAGCAAGAGAGGAATGCAGAGGATGAGAGAGAGATTGTGGGAGAAGTTAAGTGAATGTATAGAGCCTTTGAACCAAGTGAGTGAGTAATTGTGGTAGGGGACCTGAAATGCTCAAGTAGGAGAAACTTGTGAGAGGGTTTTGTGGTAGGTAAGTTTGGGGTGCAGGTGTAAATGATACTGGGGGAGCCTATTGATTGAAACTTTGTATAGAAAGGGGTAGGTTTAGTTATAGGTAATACGTATTTTAAGAAAAAGAGGTTAATAAGTATACAAGATATGATGTTAGGGCGAAAATGACAGTAGTTTGTTTGGATCTATGTATTGGTAGATAAAGGCCTCTGTTGAGTAGACTTCAGGATGTAATGTTATAGAGGGGCCTCAGATATATCAGATCACGTTCTAGTTGTAGCTTACACTGAGAGTAAAAGGTAGGATGGGATAAGGAGAATAGAAGATCAGGGAAAGAGTGCGGTGAAGGTTTATAACTAAAGAGGACGGCAGTTATGGGTAAGATATAACAGCTATTGGAGGATGGATGATGGGCTAATGAGTGCATAGGCCAATGGGTCGAATAGAGGTTGGGGTAGGTTTAAATATGTAGTGTTAGAGTGTTCTGCAGAGTTTGTGGTTACGGAAAGTGGGTCAGGAGGGTAGAGGAGCGATTTGGTGGAATGATGATGTAAGAGTGTAGTAAGGAGGAAAAAAGTTAGCTTGAGAAGTTGTTACCAAAAGTAGAAGTGATTGCATGAGGAAGGAGTATAGGGGAGAAAAAGAGACAGGTTATAGAGAGTGGTGAAGCAATTAAAAAAGAGAGCAAAATGAGAGAAGTGGGTGAGATGTTAGCAACCAAATTTTGTGAAAATAAGAAATAAAAGTTTTGGAGTGAGATTAACAAGTAGAAGCTAGGAACAAATGGATGTGTCAGTTAAAATAGAGAGGAGAGTTATTAAATGGAGTGTTAGAGGTATTGGGAAGATGGAGGGAATATTTTGAGGAATTGTTAAATGTTGATGAGATAGGAAGCGTGATTGTCGTGTATAGGGCAAGGAGATTAACATCTTGTAGGGAGTGAGAAGAGGCCAGGTGTGAGTTTGGGGAAGTTGGTGAGGCAGTAGGTAAAATGAAAGGGAGGTTAAGCAGCCGGGATTGAGGGGATTAAGATAGAAATGGTTAATGCAGGTGGGGTTATAGTTTTGGAGAGTGGTTGGTGCAATTATTTAATAAATGTATGGGAGAGGGTAGGTACCCTAGGGTTGGCAGGAGCGCATGCATCGTTCCTTTGTATAAAGGCAAGGGGATAAAAAGAGAGTGCATAAAATTATAGGGGGAATAAGTCTGTTGAGTGTACTGGTAAAGTGTATGGTAGAGTTATATGAAAGAATTAAGAGTTAAGACGGAGGAATAGGATAAGCAGATGAACAAGGGAAGGCTTTAGGGAATGGTAGGGGGTGTAGTGGACCAAGGTGTTTACAGTGAACAAATATAAGTGACTTATTTAGATAAGGCTAAAAGAGGTCTTTGTGGATTTATGCGATTGGAAAGCGGATTATGACAGGCGTGGATAGTGGGGGCAATGTGGCCAGATGTTGCAAAGGTATGGTTGTAGGAGGGTAGCGTTACTGAAAGCAGTGAAGAGTTTTTACGAGGATAGTGTGGCTCAAGATGAGTATGTGAGGAAACGTAGAGGAAATTTTTCCCAGTAAAAGTAGGCCTTAAGACAAGGATGTGTGATGTCACCGTGGTGGTTGTTTAATATTATTTATAGATGGGGTTGTAAGAGTAAGTAAATGCGCGGGTCTTGGCAAGAGGCGTGGTGTTTAAAAGATAAAGTTCACACACAAAGTGGGGATTGTTCACAGCTGTGCTCTTTGCTGATGACACTGTGCTCTTGAGATTCTGAAGAGAAGTTGCAGAGATGGTGGATGAAATTTGTTAGGGTGTGCAAAAGAAGAAATTAAAGGTGAATAACAGGAAAGAGTAAGGTTATGAGGATACAAAAAGATTAGGTTATGAAAGATTGAATATAGATTGGAGGGTGAGGAGTATGGAGGAGGTGAACGTATTCAGATTATTTGGAGTTGGACGTGTCAGCGGATGGGGTCTATGAAAGATGAGGTGATCATAGATTGATGAGGCGAAAAAAGATGTGAGTGGTGCATTAGGAGTCTGTGGAGACAAAGAACTTTGTCCTTGGAGGGCAAAAGAGGGGAAATGTATGAGAGTATAGTTTTCAACGCTTCTTATATGGGTCGTGAAGCGTGGGTGATGAATGTTTGCAGCGAGGAGAAGGTGGGAGGCAGTGGAGTTGTCTGTCTGTGGGCATGTGTTGTGGTGTGAATTATAATGCAGTGAATTTCGTAGTTTGGAAGTTAGTGAGGAGGTGCGGGAGTTACAAAAACTGTTGATCCAGAGGGCCTGAGGAAGGGTTGTTTGGAGGTGGGGTTCGGACATGTAGAGAGAGATGGAGCGAAGCAGAATGACTTCAAGATTGTATCCAGGTCTGTTGTGGAAGGAAGGCGGGGTAGGGGTCGCCTAGGAGGGTTGGAGGGAGGGGGGTAAGGGAGGTTTTGTGTGCGAGGGGCTTTTGGATTCCAGCAGGCATGCGTGAGCGTGTTTGATAGGAGTGAATGGAGGACAAATGGTTTTTTAATATTGATCGTGCTGTTGAGGTGGAGCAAAGAACATTTATGAGGGATTCAGGGAAACCGGCAGGCGGACTTGAAGTCCTGGAGATGGAAGTACAGTGGCCTGCACTCTGAAGGTGGAGGTGTTTAATGTTGCAGTTTAATAACTGTAGTGTAAAGCGCCCCTCTGGCAAGACAGTGATGGAGTGAAATGATGCGTGAAAGTTTTTTTCTTTTTCGGGCCCACCCTGCCGTGGGGGAATCGGCAGTGTTGATAATAAAAAAAAAAAATAATATAAATATATTTATATATATATATATATATATATATATATATATATATATTAATATATATATAATATATTATATATATAATATATATATATATATTATATATATATATTTTTATATATATATATTTGAGTTATATATATATTATATATATATATTATATATACTATATTATAATATTATATCTATTTATATATATACTATATATATATATTATATATTATATATATATATATATATATATATACTATATTCCATTTATTTATTCATCCATCTGAGCTGCCTCTTGGGGTGATCTCTGCTAAAGTATTATTTTTCTACACTTCTCCATTTTAGGTATCTCATGTTGAAATCTACCAGTAGCAAAATGTTTGGGGGCAGGAGTTGGAAGATTTTCCAGACATTGGTTAATTTTCAAAGCTGTTCCTGGAATTGCTGGGAAGTTGCATCCAGAAGCTTGTATACAACCACAATGACAAGGTTCTTGTTTTCATTCTTTACTGCCTAAACTTCATCTACATCATTTGAGGTGTTTAGTAGATCTGAGCAAATGAGCAACTCTGTGACGTACAAGCCAAGCCCCCCTCGTTGCCTGTTTAGTCTGTCACATCTGAATAGGTTATAATGTGGGATCCATATTTCATTGTCAAAATGATCCTTTATGTGGGTCTCTGTCAAATGCAAACATTGCTTTTGACTCTGTGAGCAGTCCCATGATGTAAGGAATTTTGTTTGTTGATGGCTTTAGACCCTGTGTGTTTGCACTAGTATAGAGTGACAAGTGTCATTATATTGATGGAATTTAGGGGGATTTTATTTGCTGACTGTAATATCTGTTGCTCTGGAGTGGAAGCCAATGGCTGTGCCTCTGCTCCAGAAGTGTTTTCAGTTGGTGTAAGATTTCTGCCATTTCTTGCCAGTCTTTTTACCTTCTTGGCACAAAAAACTTTCTCGGGAGAAGTTATGGCTCCCCTTTTTTGTTTCCCATAGTCTGGCTGGTCTGTGTCTTCTTGTCCCTTTTTGATGATATGCCTGGCCGTATACATTGTACCATTTTCTTTCATGGAGTGACGATTGGCATTTTGGAGTGAAATAAGTTACAGGAAGGGGAGTTGCACCCTCGTGTTGTCATGTGGGTGCAGCATTTTTTTTGGATGTGTCGAACGTGCTTGGCCCCTCCTGTTTTAGTGATAATACATGCTTGCAGATACCAGGCATAGAATTTGCATTTGATTAGAATTGTTTGCTAGGTTTTTATGGCTGCATTCGCTGCTGGTGCTTTTTTTCGGTTTTTTGCCTCTACCTACCGCCTTGTATGGAATCAGTGCTTCACCAGTTTTTATGGTAATGTGTCCACCATTTTCATGGGCACTGAAGTTTCTTTATAGGTTTTGTAGATTATAATTTTTTTTTTTACTGCCAGTATGGTGCATGTCATTTTGTTATAAGTACAAGGTTATTTATTTGAAACTAGTTTCTGTGACGTTGCTGTTATGATGTGATACATAGTGTTTTCTTTCAGGGCAACATTGTTTGGGCAAGATGTAGAGAATATTGTCGCAGCCCCTTGTGGATGCAGAAAAAATTGGAACGAGACCGTGCAGTTAATGACCTCAATGTGAAGATTAAATCCTTTTCACCCGAGTTTATTGAAAGTTTACAACGAGCTCTGTTGAATATTGTCTGTGATTGTTCCAGGTGATTAAATAACCTTTGTTCATTGATTTGTTTTAATGTCTGTAGTCTATGATTGGTTTTAATTTCTAGTTCAATTTCTTTTGTACAAATGTATAGTAGTACAGTACTAGTATCTTTCATTTTGAATAGCATGTATGTTAAGGAGTTGGCATTTTAGAAGTGCAGACCTTTTTTTTTTTTTTTTTAAACTGAACATACTCTGAATTAGAAACATTTTCTCATTTGAAATTCAGAAATTTTGTTCCTGTTCTGAAAAGTAAATTTTTAGAGATCATTCTAAATTTTAAAAGATTGAAAAGTTTCACTTGTTTTTTTTTAAATTCCACAAATTTTTCAAAAATCATAATGGAATTTTGAATACTGTATTTGCTGTGAGAAAATTATGTAGGTAAATTTTGCAGGCCAGTGTCTGATTAACATTTTCACACCATATTGGTACATCAGCGTTTACACTGATGATATTGATGTACCTCAGAGTCATGTGGGACTTTAGGGCACGATTATGGTCTCCTTTGTGCCCACCTTCTCAGTTCAGCCTCACATGTCTGGACCTTAAATTATTTTTAGAACATTTTTTGTTTTTTTCAACAAGTCGGCCCCTCTCCCACAAGGTCAGGGTGACCCAAAAAGAAGAAAATCCCCAAAAAGAAAATACTTTCATCCTATTCAAACACTTTCTCCTCTCTCACAAACATAAATCATGTTTTGCGGGTGCCCAGAACTACAACGGTTTAGAAGCATATACGAAATAAAGATTACACAACATATCCCTCCAACTGCTAATATATATCATATATTAGATTATATTATATATATATATAGTATATATATATATATATTTTTATATATATATATATATATATATATATATATATATAATATATATATTATATATATATATATATACATATATATTTATTATATAAATAGATATTTATATATATATATATATATATATATATATATATATATATATATATATATAATAATATATATATATTATATATATATACATATATATATATATATATATATATATATATATATTTTTATATATATATATATATATATATATATATATATAATGTATATATATATATATGTTATATATATATTAAATATAATATATTTGTATATAATATATATTTATATATATATATATATATATATATTATATATATATATATATATATATATTTATAAATTTTTTTTTTTTTATATATATGCATAAAAAACACTCTGACAAGAATAGAGAAATTTCCAAGCGCTTTCGTGATAACTCACATTATCAAGGAACTATGAAAGTAAAGCATCCAAGGAAGCTATATACGGGGTCTGTGCAGCACCTCACTATCGATCCCACAACGCGGTTTTAAAAACATGACGCGCGCCGACCACTTGGATAGGTCCTTTGCACACTCACCCACAACTATTCTACCAAGAAAATTTAAAAATTATTTTTGTCCAGTGTATTATTAAATTCTTCTTCACAAATTCTTATTAAATTATAAATGGATCTAATTTATTATAAACCACAAGGAACTATTATATTTTGTCATACTGTTTTTTATGAAACTAGATTAATTATTTCTGTAGACCATGGACTTGCTTGATGTACTTTCTCAACTTTTTTTTGTAAAATCGATTGGATGGTTAAATCTCTTTACGTTGTATAATAGAGCATTGGAAATCTTGTCCAGTTCTAATGCTATATTTATGTGTTTAATCTTAGTTCGAGATTTTTACCAGTTTGACCGTAATAACTTTATCGCAAATTTTACAAGTAATCTTATAGCCTCATCATCGCATTTTGGGGGGAATTCTTTATCAAGAGTTTTTTTGTACTGTATCAAGATTTGTGAATACAACTTTAATATTAAAAGTCTTAAGAAGAGAAGGCCATATCAACCAGTTTTCATGGTAAGGAGAACGACCATAATTTTATAGTGGATTTAATAGGTTTTTGAGAACTTAATAATACACTGGACAAATTGATTATTTTTAAATTTTCTTGGGTAGAATAGTTGGAGGGTGTGTTTGTGCAAATGGACCTATCCAAGAAATTGGGTTGGCGCGCGTCAGTGTTTAACCGTTGTGGGATCTGATTGTGAGTGCTGCCAGACCCCTTATATAGCTTCCTGATGCTTTACTGTTCATTAGTTCCGTGATAATGTGAGTAGTCGCGAAAGCGCTTCGAATATTACTTATTCTTTCAGAAGTGGTTGTTTGCATATTCTGAAATCAACCTGTTTTACTGTGATCTTATTGTATATATATATATTTATATATATATATATTATATATATATTTTATATTTATATATATAGTTTATATTATATTTTTCTATTATATATATGTATTATTTATGTATCTGTAATTTGTATTTATATATATGTATATTTGTATGTGTTCTATGTATATATATATATTGTATATATGTATATGTATATATGTATCTATATATATGTCTATATGTATTTGTTTATATGTATTATATATATGTATAATATGTATATATATATATGTATATATGTATAGATTATATGTCATATATATATATGTATTATGTATTTATATATATATGTATATATATATATTTAATTATAATATATAATATATATATATTATATATATATATATTTATATATATATATATATATATATATATATATATATCTTTATATTTATATATGTATATATATATATATATATGTATATATATTTAGAATATATGATATATATTATATATAATATATATTATAATATATATATATATATTTATTGTATATATATATATATATTATATATATATAAATAATATATAATATAATGTATATATATTATAATATAAATATATTTAATATATATATATATTTTTATATATCATATATATTATATATATATATAATATAATCCATATATTTATAATATTTTATATATGTATATATTTATATAAATATATTTATATATATATAAATATATATATATATATATAAATAGATTTTATACAGATGGACCCCGCTTCCTGTTGGCATCACATTGCCGTTTATTCCGCTACCGCTCACTTTAATCGCAAAAATTTTGCCTCGCATACCGCTCAAAAACCGCTCACGTTGTTCGTCGAGAAGGTCCAATGTGGCTTAGCCTGCCCTCAATGTTCGCTGGTGGCATCTGTTTACCAGCTAGCCTCGCTGGGGTAGCCATCCAGCATACAATCGTACATTTCGTATTATTACAGTGTTTTTGGTTTTTATTGGAAAAATTAGTGACGGGGCCAAGGAAACCTTCTAGTGCAAACCCTACAGCCAATAAGGGTGAGAATTACTATAGAGATGAGAGAAAGATCATGTAAGTATGATAGTGGAGTGGTGTCTCCGAGCTGGCCAGGTTGTATAATTGAACCCCAATCAACCATTGACTAAAATGGTGGTGTAAGCTGCTGCTGCTGCTGCTGGAGCATCGTCTGGTGCTTGCTGTAGCATCGTCTGCTGTGCTGTAGCATCGTCTGCTGCTGCTTAGCATCGTCTGCTGTGCTGTAGCACTGTGTTGGTGTGTTGCTTATTGAGAAGTATACCAAGAAAACAATTAACCCCAGGGATTTTCACCCAGGATAACCCAAAAAAACTCAGTGTCATCGAGACTGTCTAACTTAATTCCATTGGGTCCTTAATCTTGTCTCCCAGGTTGCAACCACACAAGTCGACTATCACCAGAGTGACAGGGATAATGCTGGAAAACTAGTGTAATATTGGTGAATTTAAAGCCTGCAAAGTTGGTTGAGAAGATTTAAGAATCGTAGTGCATACCACAGTATGATAAGGCCTCTTCTGGAAGAAAATGCCAAACAGGGACCTGCAGTACTCAGGAGGAAAAGGCACTCCCAGGACACAGGGTCTCATAGTCATTGCTGCATCTTCCTATAAGGGAGTGTCATTTATTCTTCATTTAGTTGACTATTACATGCAACAATATTTTTACTGTGCATGTACTACTATATATGTGCATGTACCTTCTCTTTGTGTGTAGGAAAATGTTATATTTCATGTGGTAAAATTTTTTTTTCATACTTTTGGGTGTCTTTGCGCAGATTAATTTGATTCTCCATTATTTCTTATGGGGAAAGGAAAATTCATTCGCATACGATTATTTCGCATTACCATGAGCCCCTTGCACGGATTAAAATCGGTTATGCGGGGCGTCCACTGTATATATTTATATTACAGTGGACCCCGCCATATCGATGGCATCACATAGCGATTAATCCGCATACGCTTGACTTTAAGCGCAAAAATTTTGCTCTCATACGCTTAAAAACCCGCTACCGATTTTCGTCCGAGACAGGGTCCAATGTGCGGCCTGAGCCACGCTCACATGTTCGGCAGGTGGCATTGTGTACCAGCCAGCCTCCGCGGTATCATCCAAGTACAATAGGAATATTTCGTAATTTATTACAGTGTTTTCGGTGCTTTTTCGGAAAATAAGTGACCTGGGCCCAAGAAAGTTCTAGTGCCTACCCTACAGCAAATAAGGGTGAGAATTACAATAGATATGAAGAAAAAGATATTGATAGTATGGAAGTGGAGTGTGTGTCTCGAGCTGGCCAGGTTGTTAATAAACCCCAATCAACCATCGGCTACTATTGGTGGTACAGCTGTGCTGTGCTGCACTGTCAGCTGCTGCTGCTGCATGTCAGTGCTGCTGCTTGCTGTTGCATCGTCTTGTGCTGCTGTAAATCGTTCTGTTGCTGCTGTAGCCGTCGTCTGTTGTGCTGTACCACGTCTGCTGCTGCTGCTGCTGTTGCATCGTCTGCTGCTGCTGTAAATCGTCTGTTGCGACTGTAGCGTGGTCTAGTGGGCTAGCTGTACCACCGTCAGCTTGCTGCTGCTGCTGTTAGGCATCGTTCTGCGCTGCTGTAACTGCGTCTGTTGCTGTGAGAATCGTCTGTTGCTGCTGTACACCGTCAGCTGCTGCTGCTGCTGTAGCTGTCTGCTGCTGCTGTA